CCCGTGTCCCCTGCATCGGCAGGCATACTCTCAACCACTGCGCCACCAGGGAAGCCCCTACCTCCAGTTTTTGACAGAGGAGGTTTCCGTGTGGGTCTTAGCTGCCAGGGCCTGACTTAAGACCGACCGCCTGACATAAAAAATTTAGAGAACTTAATGGAAACAGCCAACTCTCATCTTTAAGGGGAGGTGAGTATAATAGATAAGCAGGAAAACTAAAGAAACTAGAGCTATAAAAAAATTGAAAACTAGACCTTGAACAAATTTGAATATTGATCTCACTAATAAATGTTCCACCCCACGATAAACCTCGATAAAATATGGTGGCCACTCTTCTGTGGCAGAGTATTTGCACCAGAGCTCTGGTGAATCCAAGAGCAGCCTTACCTCACATTCTGGAGACGTCTCCAACTGTATTTGACCACTGTAGGAATTAGAGGGAAAAAATGATACAAAGCGGAATTTAAAGCAAAAATATTTCAATGTAAAAAGGTAAAATATATTGTTATAAAAAGGTCAACATACTTTAGTGCAGAGTCTTGTAATTCTAGGTCTTCTGCTGAGTCCACAGGGTAAAAGTTTACAACACTTCTCTCTGTAATATCTGTGCTTAATCTGAAGAGTGAGGGGAAAAAAGTGTTACCAAATGTATTAAACTTCTAATAAATTCTACTGCTTTTAGTCATATATTTAAAAGTTATGTCTATTGTTAAGATTTAAGAATGGAAGGTTTACGGTAGAAATTTCAAACTACATGGTATTTTCCCACCATGTGCCAAATACAATATAATGTACTTTTTTTTTTTTTTTTTTTTTTTTTTTTTTTTTTTTGCGGTACATGGGCCTCTCACTGTTGTGGCCTCTCCCATTGCGGAGCACAGGCTCCGGACGCACAGGCCCAGCGGCGATGGCTCACAGGCCCAGCCGCTCTGCAGCACGCGGGATCCTCCCAAACCGGGGCACGAACCCGTGTCCCTTGCATCGGCAGGCAGACCCTCAACCACTGCGCCACCAGGGAAGCCCATATAATGTAGTTTTAATATAATTTTCCATATGCTTTGGTATCAAAATCCAACTTATTTGAAATATACTAGTAATTTCTGATAAGGTCATAATATTCATAGGTAGCACACACTAAATTTGATTCTAGAAATTTATTCGTTTACAGAAGCAAGTAAAGTTGTTCTATACTATACTATACATGTACTATATTATGGTGTATGTACCAAGGGCATTTGTTTTAACAGGAAGATCTCTTTGATAGACCCTAATACTCTCGATTTAAAAAATAAGAATTCATAAGCAATCTGATATGCATTTTTAATTCTGAAATTGTCTTACACTTTCTGAATTTCTGTGATTTTAAGAGCTGAACTTTTTTTTTTAAGATCTATAAAATAAGGAATTTCTGTAAGTCATATACAAGTTATAAAGCTATTTTAAAAAGTAGGGATAAGTTCATACTATACATGCCCATTGAAAATGGTATCAAACCAACAGTCAGAAATCCTTAAGAAACCAACACAAAAGCAAAACAGGATAGCAATATTCAACTCAATTTTTTGATGTTAAGGTTGTGTGAAAGATAAAACTCTAAAATTTAATCCTGTAATCAGCGGCTTGACTAAAGCAAAGAAATCTGGATCTAGGAAATACGAGATAAAGGAAAACCTTAATGTGTTAAACTTTTAATTACTATTATTCAAAAGCAGCTAGAAATAAGTGACCTCTTGAAGTGCCCTCTCTTTATTAGGACAAAAACAGGACTCTTTCTTTATCCCTATTACACTGGCACAAAGACACGTTATTATCAAGTTAGGATTGTCGTATTATAATATCTATTTCAGGATGTACAACAAAGATCTGCAGAAGCCAAATTAGTGGATTATTTGAGGGAGAAAATCAAATCCCTATAAAGTTTTACAACGTAAATAATTTAAAAATAGCAAACCATAAAGACGCAAACCAACTATCCCTTGGAAGGTTACTCAAGGCTGTTTTCTTCCACGCCCACCATGCTGACTTGCTTGACATCCTTGGTGACTCTTTGCCTCAGACCTTTCCAAGCTGGAAAGTAATCTGCAGATCCTCAGTTCATCCCACTTCTCAGGAAAGATGATGCAACTGAGGTCCAGAGCGGGGAGCCACACCTTCCAGGTCACCCCGATCTTACACTTGGTTCCAGTCCCACATTCCCTGGCCGCTGCTATTTCCATCAAACAAGGCTGTTGTTTTTCAATTTGGGGCTCACATTGTAATCTCGAATTTGTAAGAAAAGTTTATTGGAAAAGTAATACAAAATGTAGAAATATTAAAACAGTATAAAGTTTGAGCCCAAGTGGGGCCTTCTCTCTGTCACATCATGTCTTCTAGGCTCTGTCCTGGACTCACATTCCCTTCCCATTGATATGCTTGCCCTTGGGAACCTCATCCCCTTACACTACTTCTGGTATGGCAGCACCTTATGAAAGTAACTTTTAAACCTAAGCCTCGAAGCCCCAGACCTAAACATCTAGCTGCTGAATGGACGTTGTCAAGTTGCCACCTTGGATTTTACTCAGCAGGTCCTAAACTGACCCCAACATCCTCTTCCTAAAAACCTGCCATTCCTCTTGGTCCCCCATCTCAGATGGAGACATGAGGGGTCAGGTCTAAAACACCTTGGACTGTTTGTTCCCTCCCACCCTCACCATCCACTTCAAACAATCACCAGAGAACTACCACAGTACCTACCACTGTGTATCTACAATATTTAAAAGCATAAAGAAAAGTAGTAATTTAGAAATACCCACAGAAAAAAATCCATCTTAATATATTACTTTCTAGTTTTAATTTTTCCTAAGCTTCTTATACAGTTGGGACCTAATTCTATTTATATCATTGGGATCAAACTTTTTGCATTTTTTATTCTACTTATATCACTGTGATCAAACGTTATGCATTTTTTATACTTCTTAAAGTTAACATTATATAATGAGCAATCTAAAATATAGTGGGAAGTTTAAAAAACATTTTATTGGTCACATATTCCATCTTATTAATGACCAAAATTTAAGTATCTCCAAATGGTTAGATCATTTCCTTTTTTGCAAATATTTTGCTATTAAAAACGCCTCTCCCCTCACAATTGCTGTTCATAGGATGTCATGTCCCTTAGGAATTGCTGTTCATAGGATGTCATGTCCCTTAGGATATTTTTTAGAATTAATTCAAAAGTTTTATATCTATTTTTAGACTATCGCTACAAACTACAAGGATGTCTTCTGCAGTGGTTCTGCCTGTTTACCTTTCCACCAGCAGCTCATTTATTATTTCAAATCTTCACAACACTAAAAGATAAGTACTTATAGCCCATCTTATAGATGAGAAAACTGAGGTACAGAGAAGTTATATAACTTACCCAGATTCACTGGTATTAGAGCTGGGTTTGCAACCAGTATCTGGTTGATCTGGTCCAGCCATGCTTCTTCCCCATTCCTTATAATTTCCCTCTCTCTCTCTCTCTTTTAGGATGTGAAACTCAGCTCTTTAAGGAACACACCTTGGTTAGGTGCTTACTAATAAGCCAGGCCCTGAGCCAAACATTAGGGAGAATTAACCACATGAATAATCATATTTTTAAACCATCATTACCTCCCCCTACATATAAAATAAAGTTTCAGCTCTTCCACACAGCATTCGAAGTCACGCCTGCATCACACCCAAAGGTCTCTCTGGTGAGTCTCAGTCCTGGCTGCACATCAGGAGCGCTGGTAGAACTTTTAAAAAATAAAAATGGCCAGACGCCCGGTGCCACAGGTGGTGTCGGGCAGAGTGTCTGTGTTCTGAAAGTTCTACAAATGATACTGAAGCAGAGGCAGCACGGAGATCACCTTTTCTGCCTGAGATTTTCCAAGCTTGCTCCATTCTTTCTGACCTCTGTACCTTTGCGTAAGCTTTTAATTCAATCCAGAATTTGCTTTCTCCTTGAAAATGTCAGCTATTAAAGGCCCAGGTAAAATACTCCAACCTTCAGGAAGGTCAGCCAAGCCACCCTCCCTTCTCCATCTGGGGTCAGGATCCCCTTCATTTCAAGCACTTAAATCAATGACCCTTATAAATCACTACTCAAAGCAATGTCTATTACTATAGTTTATGTTCCTAGAAGGAAGAGCTGTGTCTTGCTCATCTTTACATCCCCCAAGGTGCACACTGTAGATCTTTCCATGCTCTAAGCACTCAACTAATGTCTGCAGAATTGAAATGCTTTTCAAATCAATTGCTAAAGATTTCCAGCCATACTCAACCCGAGCTAAAACTATTCTTTTAGAGCCAGACAACAGTGCTGGTGTACTCTCAATGGCACTCTGGGACTCACTCGTCACCCGGTTCATAAATTCCCAGAATGTGGTGTGATTTCCACGCTCACCACATTATCAATACAAGACCACATTATCTTCACATTAAAATTCCCAGGATCCCTGAATAGTTTACCTGGGATAAGCTTCGGATCTATTTCTCTATTAGTACGGTAGTTATTACCTGATACCAGGTATGCTGCTTTACCGAAAAATATTTTGTCTGTGGGAATTCCGTTACGCTCAGCTAAGAAACCAAAAAATATACTTATATATCAAGTGCTTATTATTGATAAAGACTAATTCAATTAAAAAATTATCTTGTAACCCAAATCTTTAGAAATACATGATTTAGTTAACATATATTTGGCACCATCAGAAATAAATATGGTAGTACTTGATAAACCAAGCCTTTCCTTTTTGGAAACTCTCTTATATTTCTCTATTCCAGGGGTTTAAACTTCAAGCTATATAAAATAGGCAATCTGACCGTATTTCTGTTGTCTAAGAATTATACAAAAATTGCCCTATGAATTCCACGAAGGGTGAATGAATTTCATGAAGGGATGGAAAAGCGGGGAACTGCTCTCAGTCCCTCCAGAAGTTTGACTCTTTTACTTACGGATCTGGGGAAAACAGGCAGTTAAAATGACTTTTCTTTGTTAGTGGTTAGTGCTAAGCCCATACTGTGTGTATAAATATCTTAAAAACTGAGATAATGTACTCAATAAATTAGTGTACATTACTGACACCTGAAACCTGGGCCAAGGAAAGACACACATACCTGTTGGGATCTTGCAGCAAATCCACTGCTTCTCTCAGCTGTTCAATCATTGCTATATTCATGTCCTGGTCTTTGGATGAACTTACTCTGCAACAAGAAACCAAGCTTTAGACTGAAAATGGTCACTAGAACATGAATAGCACCTAGGTTCTTAAGAACAAACTTATAAAGAAAGATCCATCTAACTCTGCAAAAATGATTTTTGACAAACTCAACATTTTAGCGAAGATGTGTCAGTACCCTGTGGGGTGAGCTGCCAGAGTGTAGCAGAAAGAGTTGCTGGGTGGGAGGAGCCAGCTAGGCTGTAAAGCAGCTCACACAAAGTCTCAGTGCCCGTGGGCAGTGCTCACCTGTAAAATCAGGGCAATGGACTGGCTGGGTAGTTCTCACGCTGTACTTTCCTGAGCCTGAGGGGGATCCACAGGGGTGCTCAGCTACGGCGGGTCCACACTATTTCCAATTCCAGTTCAACCAGCCTGGCTCAGTTTTATCGCTTTCATACAATATGGGACTTCAATGTGGGATTCTGGTTCCCAGTCCAGGCTCGTTAAGCAGCAAAATCACCTAATGGTGCTTAAAAAAAATATGCCAGGTCTGATATTCCTAAGTAGATCTGTCTGGGACTTGGACATTTTCTTAATCAGATGATACTGATTTACAGGCAGGGTTGGGAACAATAGATATAAGCTTGAGAATGGGGTTTCCAAAGCTTCACACAGTTTAAAAACTCTTT